CACATGTAGTATGCAAACACGTCTTGAGCTATAGCCAAAAAAAATATTTATGAGAGCCCTAGTCAACATTTAACTTAATTATTTGAGCTGCATGGTAATTGTTTTGAGAAATTACACTATATGCAATGTTGTTCAACATGTGCTTTACAATCTTAACAGTATGAAACTTTTGTATTGTAATGATGATTTTTTGTACTGTCCGTCAAGTATAGCTAATGTTTTGATAGGTATTATGATATATTCCACTCGTTGTGATTGAATTATGTCCACATGTCTTTAAAAACTGACCAGACTTGGCAATTTCTAATCATCAATGTACTACTACAAATATAATGTACTTCCAGATTGGGAAGCAGTGTATCTTAAACTTTTAATGATGAATATTTTACTAGATGCCTGATCAGGAAGCAATGTTCCCAAAACGGGAAGTGGCTAGTTTTTGGTAAAATCAAAAAACTTTACTTAAGTTCACTTTCAGATTATTTTAATTGTAGACATTTTAAAAGAAAATGACTCGGTAGGATTTTAGATGTATCTTTTCTGAACTAAAATGTAATATTCATATTGAAGTGGATTAAAAATTGTTATGCACCGGCCATTTTTCTTGAACTACGTAAAAAAGGCCAAAAAAACTTCCTGATCGGGAAAGATTTTGACGTTTGTTGCCTGATCGGGAAACCTAGAAGGGGAACCCCCTTGTTTCCCGATCAGGAAGTATGCCCGACTGTTTAAAACTTATTTAACACATGATATTGCACAGTTTACAATAGGGTGGGTTTTGGACTTGTTGTTTCTCCACATGATGGTTGTATGTGTGCTTAAGAAAAAGAAACACCCGGTTAACACGGAAATGTGGAAAGTGTGATTTTACAACCCCCCCCCCCCCCTCCACAATAAAGCGAAGGATATGTTCAGTATGTGTGGACAATTTGACCCTATAAAATTGTTCTGTTAAATAAATGTTAAAGGTGCTCTGTCAATGTGCAACAGCTACACACGAAAGAATGTGTCTTGAATTCAATCCTTGCTTTCACCGGCAACCAATGAAAGTCGTGCAATGTAAGTCGAAATTTCAAGTTAGTTAGTCGAAATTTCGAGTTAGTAAGTCGAAATTTCGAGATAAGTAACTCGAAATTTCGAGTTAGTAAGTAAATACCTTATATGGATTAAATTTAAGAGTGTAACCCGTTTTTGTACACACCTTTATACAGTAGAGATTCAATTCAAGAGTGTAACCCGCTTTTGTACACATCTATATTCACTCGATACATACAATTTAAGAGTGCAACCCGTTTTTGCACACGTATAAACACCGTATATAGATTATGTTTAAGAATACCTTGAATGGCTTCATTTTAAGAGTCTGCAGCAACCCTTTTTTGTATGCATCTATATAGCCTGATTAGATTCTTTATAAGAGTGTTACCCGTTTTTGTAAACAACTATATTTACTCTAAAAAAATAATTTAACAGTGTAACCCGTTTTTGTACACATCTATATTCACTTGATTTATGCACTTTAAGAATGCAACCCAGTTTTGCACACTTACAAATACCCTATATAGATTAAATTTAAGAATGCAACCCGTTTTTGTACCCACCTATATAGCCAAAAAAAGATTATAAAAATTATATAAGACATAAGACTGTAACCCGTTTTTGCACACACCTATATACCCCAAAGATATTCTATTAACAGTGTAACACGTTTTTGTACATACACACATACGTTAAATGGATTCAATTTCAGAGTGCAACCCGTTATTGTACACACCTACATGGGCAAAATAGACTCTACGTAAGAGTGTAACCCGTTTTTGCACACATAAATACATTGAATCGATTCAATTTAAGAGTGCAACCCGTTTATACACACCTATATAGCCAAAAAAGATTGCATATCAGACATAGGACTGTAACCCGTTTTTGCACACACATATTTACCCGAAAGAGATTCAATTAAGAGTGTAACCCGTTTCTGCACAAACATGCAAACGTTAAATGGATTCAATTTCAGAGTGCAACCCGTTTTTGTACACATCTACATGGCCAGATAAGGGTCTACGTAAGAGTGTAACCCGTTTTTGTGCATACACACATACGTTAAATGGATTGAATGTCAGAGTGCAACCCGTTATTGTACACACCTACATGGCCTAAATAGACTCTACGTAAGAGTGTAACCCGTTTTTGCACAAACATGCAAACGTTAAATGGATTCAATTTCAGAGTGCAACCCGTTTTTGTACACATCTACATGGCCAGAAAGGGTCTACGTAACAGTGTAACCCGTTTTTGTACATACACACATACGTTAAATGGATTCAATGTCAGAGTGCAACCCGTTATTGTACACACCTACATGGCCAAAATAGACTCTACGTAAGAGTGTAACCCGTTTTTGCACACATAAATACATTGAATCGATTCAATTTAAGAGTGAAACCCGTTTATACACACCTATATAGCCAAAAAAGATTGCATATCAGACATAGGACTGTAACCCGTTTTTGGACACGCCTGTTTACCCGAAAGAGATTCAATTAAGAGTGTAACCCGTTTCTGCACAAACATGCAAACGTTAAATGGATTCAATTTCAGAATGCAACCCGTTTTTGTACACATCTACATGGCCAGATAAGGGTCTACGTAAGAGTGTAACCCGTTTTTGTGCATACACACATACGTTAAATGGATTCAATGTCAGAGTGCAACCCGTTATTGTACACACCTACATGGCCAAAATAGACTCTACGTAAGAGTGTAACCCGTTTTTGCACAAACATGCAAACGTTAAATGGATTCAATTTCAGAGTGCAACCCGTTTTTGTACACATCTAAATGGCCAGATAAGGGTCTACGTAAGAGTGTAACCCGTTTTTGTACATACACACATACGTTAAATGGATTCAATGTCAGAGTGCAACCCGTTATTGTACACACCTACATGGCCAAAATAGACTCTACGTAAGAGTGTAGCCCGTTTTTGCACACATAAATACATTGAATCGATTCAATTTAAGAGTGAAACCCGTTTTTTGTACACACCTACATAGCCAAAAAGATTGCATATCAGACATAGGACTGTAACCCGTTTTTGCACACACCTATTTACCCGAAAGAGATTCAATTCAGAGTGTAACCCATTTTTGCACAAACATGCAAACGTTAAATGGATTCAATTTCAGAGTGCAACCCGTTTTTGTACACAACTACATGGCCAGAAAAGGGTCTACGTAAGAGTGTAACCAGTTTTCGGACACACACAAATTCATTGTAATGATTCAATTTAAGAGTGCAACCTGTTTTTGTACACACTTATATAGCCAAAAAAATTGCATGTAAGAGAGTAACTCGTTTTTGCTCACACCTTAGTACCGTAAAGAGATTCAATTCAAGAGTGCAACCCGTTTTTGCACACTTATAAATACCATATATAGATTAGATTTAAGAATGCAACCTGTTTTTGTACATACATAAAGACGTTAATTAGAAAAAACTAAAGAGTGTAACCCGTTTTTGCATACACATTTATACCTTGAATGGCTTCATTTTAAGAGTGCAACCCGTTTTCGTACGTATCCATATGGCCACAATAGATTCTTTATAAGACTGCTACACACCTACATACCCTAAAAACATTGAATTTAACAGTGTTACCTGTTTTTGTACACATCTATATCTACTTGATGCAAGCAATTTAAGAGTGCAACCCGTTTTTACACACGTATAAATACCTTATCTATTCTATAAGTAACTCGAAATTTCGAGTTAATAAGTCGAAATTTCGAGTTAGTAACTCGAAATTTCGAGTTAATAAAAAGCATACACCTGGCACTAATGCTCTTCCGTATGATTAGGATAATCATTCCATATTTATTATTATTGGGTGAGGTTTTTTTGTGTTTTTTTTTAATAAATAAGAAAAAAAAAAGAGAAAAAAGATTTATAAATTTTAATTGCTAAATTTCATACTTTTGTATAATGAAGAAAGGAGTTCAATACACATTTGCGTTAAGTTTACTGTCAGAGATAATTAAGGTGTTTATTAATTCAGTATTCAAGAATCAAGGTGTAATCTAATGATTGAAATAACTGTGAAAAGGTGTTGATAAACAAATATTTCTATTAGTTATTTGGTAATATATATATTGTGTATGTTGATGACTACATGTTCTTTAATCTATTTTGTATAAAAAATAAATTTGAAATGTGATTGCATACCAGCTGGGACATAAGATAATGTCTTATCTTATGTCCCAGATACCAGTTGTTCCTTATTTATTTATTTTCTATAACATACTTCACCTTATTCCCTATTTAACCTGGGACATACGTATCCCAGATTTAACATTTGAATGAATATCACTAGACCTTCACATAATTACAGGTGTATGTATATCAATCACTGTCCAATAATCTTAACCTCTCACAATGAAGGTGTTAATAGGATTAAAATATCTGAAAAAGGTGTTAAATTTACAAACACTTTTCAGAATCAAATAAACATAAAATGCACTTTACTGAATATCAAATACATTCTTTTAATAATCTTCAAGAAATATTATTAGATTAAGTTAAAACTAAAATGATAACTTACAAATAAAAATTGGGGAGAACTGTCTGCATATTTCAAATTTGGGAGAGAACCGTCAGGGGAGGAACTCACTTTTGTTAAAATTAATAGCCTCGGCGGCCTTAGACAAGTTATTCGTAATTTCGCGCGTGGTCATCTTTCGCTTAACGAAAGATTACAGACCCTGTCTTCCATAAAGTTTGACAATCTCCACGCAGTGATCTCCCCTAATTCTTCTACTTATAAAGGGAAGTAACCGCTGCGAGGAGTTTGAAAGTTTTGATTCTAGTTCTTTCCCCTGTTTACGATTCATTTCCGTAGGATGGGTTCGGGAATTTCCGCCCACATTTGACGGTTTTCGTTTGGAACTATAGCTACAAAATGTTACATATTGATTAGTGACAAAATGTATGAATAATTTGGTTAATATCAAACCAGTATGTTTAGGACTTATCTTTAGGTCAATGAGATATTAAAATTGTCTCGAAAACAATTATCTATCGGATATAAATAACTCGGTTATCGTTTTCTTTGTGTCATTGTTAAAAAAAATCATTGCACAATCGAACTCACCGATGAATCACGCGATTTTATGCAAATGAACACCGGTTGCTCGAGCAAATGAATTAACTTTCAGTTTACAAAGACCGTGTTGCTTTAAATAAAACACAATGGATAATTTAAAGGAAGGAATGAATTATTTGAAAGGATACCAGCATGTTGCTGATTTTCAAAGATTCTGTGGTGTTGAGATTGTCGAAGTTGATACAAATGACATCAAAGACAGTGCCAATCATGCAAATGGTAATGTAAACAACCATTCTGAAGAGAAATGTGTTGAAAACGGTGGTACACAGGAAAATGTGAGGAAGAGATCTGCTCAAAACCACGTGAATGGATACAAAAATGGAATTAGCAATCCTTACAAGAAGGAAGCAAAACTTGCCTACAGAATTACAAACAAATTTTTGTATTATCTTTTCCAATTTGGAGCCAGTTTAGGGAGTGAAATATTTTATATCATTTTTTTTCCTTTCATGATTTGGAATGTAGATAGCCGTTTAACGAGGCAGGTGTTATTAATCTGGTACCCACTGATGTATTTTGGTCAATTTCTTAAAGACTGGATTCAGTGGCCACGCCCTGGGCCCCCAGCCGTTCGATTAGAGGGTAATCGATTTGAGATGGAATATGGAATGCCATCAACGCACACTATTGTTGGAACTTGTATACCATTTAGCCTTCTAGTCCTTACATCAAAATATTATGAGGTACAGGAATATGGAAATTGGTTTTTCTTTCAACTAAATTTATACATAATTTATCTTGTATAGAGATTCGATCTATTTTGATTGTGTAGGAATCTATAAGCTTATAGACACACTTTGGACAATTTTCCAAGAACCAATCAGTACTAAGCAATGAGTGTGAAGTTTTTGTTTGGTAAAATAACGTCTTGGTGCTAACAGGGTTTGAATTACCCATGCGGCCAGCAATCCTTTGATTACTAGCCTGACATGTTGACCATGCCATCACACAAAGCACAATTTTATTCAATGATGTATATTAAAATGTTTTGTTTGATTTAATTTGGATATTAAAGAATTTTAAAGAAGTTTTCAAAACTTCCTGAGATATCTGCACTTGTATACTTTTACAATTGTACTAGTTAGTAAGTTACAACACACGTACATAAATTTATTTGAATGGAACTATCAGCTAATATAATGCACTTAATAGTTATTCTGTATGTCTAATATTGACTTATTATATATGATAATTATATTTGTGTTCTTTCAGTATCCATTTGTACTTGGCTTGCTGATTGCTTTAGCCTGGGCTGGACTGGTTGCTGCTAGTCGTGTTTATTTAGGAATGCATACAGCTTTTGTAAGTGATTTTATGTCAATAAGGTCAACACATTTTACAGCATTTTTCATATCAATGAAAAATGATTCTTTTACACTTTAAACAGTCTTTATTTAATTTTGGGTATGGGGTAAATAGAACATCATATTCATGTAGGTCCAATACTGAATCAGTGTTGCATCTAGAATTTCAAAATTATGGGGGATTGTCCCCCATTCAATTGAAAAATGTGGGGGATTTGAAAAAAATGTGGGGGACATACATTTACCTTACAATATGACATACAGAATAGAATTCATTTATTTTACGTTCAGGCATTTTTGACAGCTATCGTCCGCTCAAAACCGGAAGTAGAAAAAATAAAATATTGACGAATACTACAAAACACACGTGAGATGACTTAGTCGGCTGCTACAAGCGATTTAGTACGTATTTTAGTTATAACCATGAGTGACAACAAACATGGCTGAAGCGTTCAAGATACGATGAAGATAAACTAAATTAAGTTGAAAAGATTGTCAGATGCTCGACTTGGCGCGCACTGACTTCATTAAAATGCACGATCTGCATAAAAAATGCGCAAGTCACGCAATCGCGCGGCCTAGATGCAACACTGCTGAATTTATTGAAAAAGTTATAGGTTCAATACTGAAAGAGGCTCACATAAAGATACTATATATATAATTTTATTCGACTTGTTCAATAAATTTAGTATTGAACCTACACTCATTTAATATCCTCAATGTAGTTAGTATTGCTGTTACAAATGATTATACCAGAGTCGAATATCCATAAAGACCACATATATGATATTTATACGCAGGATAGATTAATAAGTCTGTAAAGAATTTTGAAATGTCTGATAAATGACCTCTCCAATTTGTTGATCAATTGAATTTGATGATAAAGATGAAGATTTATTTTGTTTTTTTTTTAATTGGAAGAAAAGATTGTTTTAATATATGTCATTTTATTACTAGCCTAAAAATTAAAGAAAACTGACAGATATATGTATATGCTTACAGCTACAACTTACATGTACATAGAAATTAATGCATGTTATATCAGTCTGGATCGATCATAGACTGCCTGTAAATCCTAATGTATAAGATAATTTATTTCATAATTCATGCAATGACAATGATTTTTGTGTCACCTTGAAAAGGCGACATATAGGGGTTACATTTGTCGTTGTCGGCATCAGCATCTCCTAAAGCTTGTCCGGAGCATAACTTAGTCACTGTAAGTCGGAATGACTTCAAACTGGGTATGCATGCTTCTTTCAATAACTCGAAGTGCAGTGCACAAGGACCAGTACTCTGCATTTCTTAATTTTTGAGTTACTGCCCTTTGTTAATTTTCATACTTTAATTTTGTCCGGGCCATTTCTCTTCAACTATTAAAGCTATGAACTTTTAACTTCTTAGGATGATAGATCTCTTTAAGAAGAAGTGCAGTGCACAAAAACCGGTGCTCTGCATTTCTTATTTTTTGAATTATTGCTCTTTGTTGATTTTCTTACTTTATTTTTGTCCAGGCCATTTCTTATGATTTATAAAAGCTATGGGCTTGAAACTTCATAGGATGATTGATAGATCTCATTAAGAAGAAGTGCAGTGCACAAGAACTGGCACTCTGTTTTTCTTATTTTTTTAGTTATTGCCCTTTGTTAATTTTCATACTTTATTTTTGTCCGTTCCATTTTTCCTAAACAATGAAAGCTATTTACTTGAAACTTCATAGAATGATAGATTTCATTAAGAAGAAATGCAGTGCACAAGAACTGGTACTCTGCACTTCTTCTTTTTTGAGTTATTGCCCTTTAGCAATGTTTATAAATAACCTACATTTAAGAAAAAAATGCTTAAGTGACAAAGTTCTATACTGTTCACAAGACGACACATCCAACTCGCGGAGTTCTAGTTTTAAAAACTTAATTTTACAAAAGCCAAGACCTTTCAAATTGAGAAAATTTTAAAGGCACAATAACTATAGCATTTTAGCTTTTTAGAAAGTTTTTTTGGGGGGATTAAACTTTAATTTTTGTGCATAAAATGGCAAGAAAGCAATCCATAACTTGCCCAAGTTGAGATTTCTATGTTTTAAATGTACATGTTAATATGGACTTTGACAGTATTTATCATGGTTTAAAACTCTTCTAAAAACACATATCCACTACATGATCTTGAGTCATCATTGTGGCTAAGGATCTCAAGTTCATATAAGATATTGTATTATCCAGCACAGTGTACATATGACAATATTTTACTCAGAATAGTATCCATACTGCTTTCTCTAGAAACTGGATTTTATAAATGTTCATGTATATGAAATCAAGAAATAAATACAGGATCAGTGTCAATTCATTTTGTTTTTTGGCATACAAATGTATGTTTTACAAATGTAGCAGTCAAGTACAGAGGAAATTGTATAAACTATGATTAAATTGAACAGTTTGTGCCAATAGGGCATTGACCAGGCTACTGTATTATGTTGTTGTTTTTATTCGTATTAGTAATTTTATACAGTTACTCAGTGTTCAATTATTATGAACAGAACAAATAGTTTATTCATTTATAACAGATCTGAGCCAATAAGAGTCTTATTCTATATACCCATATCAACATATCAAAATATTCACTTTTGGAATATAATTATATGTACATTTCATTTTAATAAATGGTATGTAAATTTGTTTTGTATAAATATAAAATATAAAGGCTGAACTTACTAGTGTACAGAAAGACATGGTTATTACTATTAGCCCAAAGGAATGACTGTTTTTTAACAAATTTCCAGTCATATATAGACTGATGTTATGGAAAAAAAATTAATGTAAGTATTTCAGTACATTTGTACTGTAAGTATATAAGTTCTAAATACCAGGGTTTTCATTATTAACAGATGACAATCCATATAATTGATTAAAAATGCTGTTAAGAACCGATTGTATTTTAAGCCTGTAGATTAAAATACTGCCCTTGACCCTTGGCCAAATCGGTTGTTTTTGTTAGCACATCTGCTTCCTCAGATAAAAATGAAATCTTTGAAAAACTTTGGTTTTTTCAGTGTAAGTCTGTATCTACTTTCTGCTATTTATTTTTGTGGCAAACAAAATATTTCATTAAAAAAAATCAAATCTATCTAAAGTATATCTATTAAGATTTAAAAAAAAGGAAACCTTTCCTATAATTTGTTCAAGTCAACTATCAGGGTACTAAATACTCGCTCAGTTCATGCAAACCCATATTTAACGAAGAATGACTTAAAGTTGTGTTAATGTCAATATTTAATGAGTGCAATCAGCTTTGATCAATACAGGTATTCCATGAAACTCATTATACATGTATGCATGTAAAACTACTGTTAAAATATCATCTGAAGGTCAGAATGACATTCTTGAATACAAGTTACAACTTTGAAGTCCAGAACAAAGAAATACATATTTTTTTAAGTATTAAGATCTGTTTTACATATACGTAAGTTAATCATGCTACAAGACAGATGTAGGGCACCTATGTAATATTGCACTGTTAGTCACTGGTTTATTGATCATTGTTACAAATTGTAACCCGGTTTTAAGAGTTGAATGGGTTAGTTTGAAATAGTAAGATCGTGAGATCAGTACTCCATGTCTGACATACAGGTCATGCTGTACCTTCTTGTCTGTATTATGTCAGTAACTCTTTGTATATTGCAGATCAAGTTTCTTAATTGATTTGTAAAGATAATAATACAATGTATAAACTTAAATGATTTATGGTTTGTTACATAAATGTTTTAAGATTTATACCATTAAAACAGAGGCTTTCAATTATATATTTAAATATTGATCTGTCTAAATTTCTTGATATAAAATTCTTTCATTAGATCTTTATTAATCTTATTTATTTCCTCTAATTATCTTTGTAAAATCAGCATAATTGCAAAATTTCCATCAGACTGGTTTAAATATACAATTAGCTCACACTGTCTGGGTCGAACAAAGACTTTTAAAGAAAGCACACTTTGCTTATGTCATCAAATTTCACCGAAAAGAGGTTAACTTATTGATCGAAATTATGTAGACGTATATTTTTGTATGAAATAAAATTTAAGTTGTTTAAGATTATGTCATACTACTTCGCAGTTTAATGTTTGTAGGTTTATTGTAAAACCGTATTAAGTTCTTCTACAATGTCCATGCAGTTACGGCAGTGATAAATGTTGAACATTGATATATAGGTCAGACAAGTACGTACAGTGTGACAGCATCATACGATGATTTGTCATGTCAGGGGAGCATGATATGGTGTTAAAGTTTAAATACTCCTGTTTGCTAGAGGACATTTTTCTTATCAATCTTGCTACAAGATTACATGCATTGTTTAAGTTTACATGCACTCAGATAAATGGTTTATGCCCCAGAAGAAATAAATTGACAGTCTGTCCGCCTTTATGAGCTTAACTCTAAACTTTCTTAAGTTCTACCTGTACCAGTGGCTTTATAAGTTACACATTAACTTACCAATACAAAGGCCATGAACTTTGGAAGTTACATAATTGTGGCTTTTATTTCCCCAATTTATTTCCCTTTTAAGCCAATTTCAGCAAGTTGGATTAGAAATTATCATGTTTCCCCTAGCAACTTCATTATAGGAAAATATAGTTTGTAGATAGATGGATAGATCACTTTGGTTGAGGTCAATGGTACAAAAAATAAGATTTTTAGACCAATATCATTATGATTTATATATTTTAATAAGAACATACCTTAGATAGTCCTCTACATTTAAGTGGAGTTAGGGGTCATGGGTGTCAATGTTTAGATTGCCATTGCTATAAATAGATTTTTGCTCTTGCAGCCTAAGTTATTTATTAACAAATATTCATATTTAGTAGTGAACATAACTTGGATGGACCACTACCATTGGGCAGAGTTAGGGGTCTGTAATGGTCAGGGTGCAAAAAATCAGATTTTTTTACCTTTGGGTGGAGTAAGGGGTCATTTGGGGTCTAGGGTACTAAAAATAGTATTTTTTGCTTATTTACTCATACACTTACAGTCTTTATCTATTGGATTGATGTCTTTCATATTTGGTAGGAACATTGGATAGCACTGTTCTTTGTAGACACAAGGTCAAACACTCAAGGTCACCAGTGCTACAAATTTGGGGATTATCAGGTTTAAGGTCAAAGTCCCCTGTCCAGGGAATAAAATTACAAAATAACTGTATTCTTCTATCTTGTCTTTTCTTGATTTTACGTTGCATTGAAAAAGTTTATTTTTTTGGACTTAAAAGATTTCCTTGGATCAGTAGATTTCTTAACTTATTTTAATTTTGTCACAGAAATTGAATTTTAGCAATGACTGTAATTTAACTTTGTGAACTTTTTTTATCTGTGTATGAGAGCATGAAGAAGTCTGATAACTTATAATAATTTGTGTAACCTATAATTTGCATGATTATATGAACATTGCATTATATGAAAGAGATATCCTAATTCTTTTATAATACTACATATGTTTATGTAATCTTGTATCAAAATAATACAAAATCTGATAATAAAGTAAAATAAGAATTGGCTGGATGAACATAAACCTACTTCTTTTAAATTATTATTCTCATTTCAACTGGTTAGCGTTAAGGTATTGTGTATTTTATGATGATTATGCATTAAAAGGTATGGCCTGATATTTACATGTATTTTAGGTAGTGTTTTTATGTATTCTTAAATATCTCAATTTGTGGGAGAACTGCAAATGACAGCACTTTGAATCATTTTGATTTATCTCAAACTAAATTCTAGTTGAAATATTCATTCTACTGAAACAGACTGAAAACAAGGCTAAATAGAAACAAAAAAATGCTAATTTACAAATAATTACAGAGACATGTGTGTATTTTTCCCGTTTAAGTTATTTCCCTAAAAATAGAGCTGTCATTGATTCAGTGCAAAGCATATCAACGATATAGCGATATCAAGTGACTAAAATCAACGATACACCGATATATCGATAATATCCTATACTCACTTGTCTGTCATTCACTTTCATACCTGTTTCAATGATTTCAGTCAAAAACATGTTCTGTACAGTGTCTTTTCCACTGCATGATTTTTTCTAGAAAATATTTTTTGTCACCATTGCTATGAAATAATTCCACTATATAACAAAAGCATAACATTAGATATAAATAACTGCTTCTGTATATATTTTGGGTGAATTTTATAATTTCTAGACATTTAATTTATTAACTAGTCAAAATATCGATTTTTTAGAATGTGTATCGATTATTGATCGGCAAAAAAATATCAATGATACATCGATATTGTCGATATCGATGACAGCTCTACCTAAAAATGATGTTTTCAGGCATATTGTGAATTTGAAAGATTGAATTATGCACTATATTCAAAATGACAAATCTATACATTACTTTGAATAAATAAGTATTAATTGATTGATTCAGATAGAAACATGTGAAACTATTGTCAAAGTTTTTTTTTATAAATCAAGTGCTTGACACAGAATAAGACTATCTTCTCCAATATTTTATTTGTTTCACAGTTAACAATCCTTTCACTCTCATTTGATTTAGGCTTTTTTAAAGTAAAATATTTGCAACCTTTTTTGACTTACTTACTTAAGGCTTTGTTAATGTAAAAACAAAAAACAAAAGCAAATGCATCATATTATCCTAAGACTAAGATTGTACTCATTGCGCATAAAACTAAAATAGTTCAATGTGTCTACCGTGTGTAAATTTGAAAAATATTTTCTTGCTTATTTTTCAGGACTGTATTGCCGGAATTAGCCTTACAGCGATAGCTTTGCCATGGATGTTGAGTGTGGTAGAATATGTGGAGTATTATCAGGTCACCAGTCCTTATTCGCCTTTTGTGTCGTTCCTGATACCTCTTCTGGCCTGTGTTTATTACCCAAAGCCAAAAGTTTGGAGTATAACACGTGGTGATACGTCTAACATAGTTTCAATAGGATCATGCTGTATCTTGTCGGCATGGTTGAACTTTCAGCTCGGATGGATGACGGAGACGCCCAAATCGTCGGTTCTTCAAACCCCTGCCTACAATTACAGCCGAGTGGGTAACATACAGTCTTTTAAGAACAGTGTTTAGGCGTTATAGCACTTGCAGGCTCTAGGATCATCTCGAAAAAGATTTTCGTGAAAATAGTATGTGCTTGCGCTGGTGTTGACACAAAAGATATAACAAAGCAACGGGAACTTGGTCTTGAGGTTGCCAGTACGCTGGCTCACTATAGGCGGGCTAGCTGTCTCTACAGCTTTTACGGCTCCTGTATGCTTTAACTATCTAGGTTTACTGAGAGATGGTTTTTATAGTGAAGTTGGTCTATGAGATTTTTCTCTATTTTAGACAAAATATGGATGTTGCAATATACTTTAGGAATAGAATAAGAGATATGGGAGTAGAACACTTTTTGAAAATAGTGTCAATCTTTAATATCCGCCTTGCTGATTTAATTAAAAGTAGATCACAATCACAATTTCATGATTCT